GTGGCGGGTCGCGGATTGTACCAGCCTTGCATCTTCTTTTCCAAGCCATACCCTATGACGAGAGCATCTGTCACGGCAATTCTGTGAGGTTTCATGGGGTGGTTTGGCTGTAAAAATTGCACGGCGTGAGGATCACGACGAGAGGCACAGATAAGATGCCCTACACCAAAGTGGTGGTTACCGACGTCTCTTGGGGAGAAATAGGACACTCTTCTTTTCGAATGAGGCTGTGTGCTACATCAATAAACCACCAAAGCTGACACGGTTGGATTCACGCACGTTTACGAACTCATCCCTCTGGTTTGCGCGTCGATGACGCATATCTCCTGAAAACGTCGTCGATTGAAACAGATTGCTCATCGTCATATGTAAAGTTATGTTCTTGAGTCTGGGAGATATCTTGCATGTCAGAAGCTTTACGGCCCTGTCGACGCGTCACCAGCGGGAGACATTACCAATGGGACGTCTGTTGCAACGCGGCGACGAGCTTGCTCCGACTGTAACACCACTGCTAGTCTGCGCGCACCCGCTTTTTCTCCCGGTACTAGTCAGAACTGCGATAGCGAGCCTAGCTGAAACGAGTCGGATGTTCTGAGTCAAGCAATCAAGACACCAAGTCCAAGTGAGCGGCACAATCACGCTGCTAGACGCATGCGTCCGCCAGTTCGCACGCCTCCCACAAGCGAAGCATTGGTGCGACGAGCGTCTACTTACTGGCTTTCTACTTGCTTTCTACCCAAGTCCTCACGACTGGGCAGAATCTGCCTCAAAACACGCGATAGGAAGTGTTCCTCGTCACCGATGTAGACGTTCTGCTAAATCAGAATGGCCACGGAGCTTGATGACACTTGCGACGCACGCCGGTTAGAGTCTTCCTCGCCACCGGCCCCAACTACCGGTGACACAGATACAATCAACGCAGTCTATATCACCCTTTACCGAACCGAAGATGGCGTCATGCTTTCGTGCCGCAACTAGGAAATGCGTTCCCTTCATCTCCCGCTGGTCAGAGCGTCCGATACACTCAGCAAACCAGAGTGTGCCGGCGCTGTGTCGCTCTCAAGGTCTGCATTGACAGGGCACCAATGTCACTGTCATGTTTCATTCGCATTATCCAATGAGCACACGACGCGATCTACGAAGCACTAGAGCCTGAGAATGAAATTTCAATCTGTGGCTAGATGATCATCCCTTTTTTCGACGACATCCAGATCTATCCATGATCTCAGTAATCACCTTGCTCGGCGCCAGTCAGATTGGGGGCTAACCGACTACTGCTTGCTACGGCATTGTCGACCCTTTCCGCCATGCCGCACCTCAGACCCGTCCTCACCCTCCATTCTCTTCTGCAAGACGTCACGGAATGATGCCGCACGTCATAACGAAACGAATGTACCTCGCATTCTGCGTTCTTACTATTTGCGTCACACGCAGCGAGACAGAAGTGTGCAATTACAGATAACATCTGAGGGAACGTAGATATTGTAGGCTTCGAGCGTCGACATATTGCTCCCTTAGCGATGAATGGCATGACGGCAGACCTCGCGGCAAATGTCGCAGGCCGATCGAGTAGCGAAGGAGAGGGTCCCGCTGACAATCCACACCGCGCAAGATGACGACGTGAAAAAAAACTTCCGGACACGACCTCGCGTATAAACCGAGTGCTTTCACATCGAGTCCTAGCCACTGCCCTCAAACCCTTTCAACTCGGTGAGATGTTAGCTGCAACTTTGCCCGACGACATTATCATTGGACTGTTCAATCAGGCCGCACTCATCGATCAGCCATCTGAGCGTGACGATAACGAAAGAACGCTTCCCAACCTGGGCTGGATCAACCTGACGCATGTCTGCCGTCAATGGCGTACCGTTGGGATTGAGTGCATGGCACCCCTATGGGCCTCGATCGTTACCACATTTGGGACACACACGATAGCAAATATGATAGAGCACCGAGCTCGTGGATGCAATCTGACGTTGCGAGTGACGAAAGACGGTGCGAGCTATCCTCGGTCGCGGCGCGTATCAATGGTCGACTGGTCGTTAGAGCGCATGTCACGCGCTCAGAAAATCGAATTCATCGCACGCCTACATTTCAATACATCCAACAGCGCCTTACATGCAGCATTCGATGGCGTTCACCTGCCCTCGCTTACGTATCTTGACGTGTGTTCTGCCATAACCCCCCTGGCGCAGTTCGAAGCACCAGCCGGTGCAACGATCGTCTCTCACCTCCGGGATGTTCGCTTCGAGACTCCAAACTTGGTCGTCGCCCACATGAGCAACATCCTACCTTCACCATCCTCTTCCCTACAGAGCCTGCGCCGGCTGAGGCTAATGTTTCCCACGTTTCGCGTCAACATCACCATGACGCACATTGTCAATTGCCTCCTCTCGCTCCCGAGGATTGAGGATCTATCGTTGGATTGTCCGAAGTGTTCGCCAGAAGAGGACCCATACAAGCGAGGAATTAGGGATCTGAACCTCAATCACCTCGTGACGCTGTGTCTGAAGGTCTCAGACGCCGACGATGCAATAACGCTATTGGAGACGCTGCACGCACCTTTTCTAAGCAAGATCAAGACAACGATAGCTGGACAAATGACAGACGACGACTCTCAGTGCCGGTTGTTGAACAACTCATTATCGCGGTATGTCGAGCAACTGCACTTCGACATCGCCTCGTTCAGCAATAACGGTCTGAGACTCTCATTGTCAGTAATCAACAAGGATACTCTTGCCAGCGAGCATGAAGATGTATTTGAGCTGTGGTTGCTATCAGACTGCCTGCGTCCGAGAGGCTACCATACGCTCACTCTTTTTGCTGAAGCGTCTTCCTCGCTCTTTAAATCCGTCACTAGCTGTTGTCTGGACTGTTTAGGGCATTCGCTCGATAGCGCGGAGCTCGCGCCCAGTTACCTTGTGCTACCGACCACATCCGTCATTCGACGGCTCGGACGTTGCTTCCCGAACGCATCCAGTATACGCTTGTCTGAGCTGGCGATTCAGCATATCGCATTCGACGTGATGAAGGAAGAACCGCCAGACCTATTCTTTCCTTCAATGCGATTCATTATTATGGATGTTACAAAGTACGGGAATCTCATTTGTACCCGAGAAAGTGCGAAGGAATGGTGGGGGATTGTACGCGAGGCATTGAGGAATCGCTCTGGCAAGAACAGGCCCCTGGCTGGTCTGATTCTGGAAGACGATTGGGGCACGTCCACGTTATGGTATGAAGTATGCAGCGCAGAAGCAGAAGAGAATCGCAGGCTCGGTCTCGTAGCGCAGGTTATCGATAGGCGGAAGCACGTCACTGGATCGGTAGCTACAGTCGGCTTCCCTCCCTCCCAATAAAATAAAGGCCAAAGTAGATTCACCAGTCTAAGAAATGTGCTTCGAACGCATTACTGACGACACAAGACTGAAACTCACATCTTCATACGCAAAGTCCAAGTAGTCCGCTGTGGGGGTGTCAGGAGCAACAGATTCTATGGAGGCTCACGCTTCTCTCGAAATAAAATCTTTGCATGATACTGATACAATATACACATATATATAGCTACATCGGAAGAGCGAAATACTTGTGGATACGCGAGTGACAATGATGAACGAAGCCCCCGCACGTTGCGAGCTGAAGGCGGCTCTTCGCGTATGCCTGGACCAGGTGTGCGTGGGCTCGTACCGAGCGGTAAAACGAGCGGAGAGGCGAGCGTAATGGGCGGGGCCTCCTGTCGGCTAGAGGTGGAGCCTGCGGAGGAAGGATCGAGACCGAATGTAGCTCGAACGAGCTAGAAGAGTATAACCAGGACATACACAGAAGTGTGGGTGGGCGGGTGAGTCTCGAAGCTCGAAAAACCGCCGCGGGCTACTGAAGACGCTAGCGGTAGGCGAGGAGCGACAATGGAGGCGTAAGACCAAAAGGGCTGACCGCCTTCCGCTCCACGCCTCCTTAGACACAGATCCATCGTGAGGCTCATGCCTCGCGTTTAGCCAACCCCTCATTCTAGATAAGCACCAGTTGGACAAGAGCAGACCAGGCCAACAATGCAAATCGTTGTGTTGCGGGCTTATCTTGTATCAGAGACGACCACCGGTCACTATCAAAGCATGCCAGATGACTTGGCTATCGATGTCATAAACCGGCTCACAATGCGTGCGTGAGTGACCTTCGCGCTGGGCAAAGCTCAAAAGAGGGAAAACCTCCGATCACGGCTTGTGGAAGGCATTAAACGATGGGCCTTACTTGTCAAAGACAGTGCGAGAGGGTATTCTCAGTCAACTTGAAACGAATTGCATCACGCCATACGGGTGTCAACTTCTTCAATCTCAATTCATATGATTCGGGCTGTGCTTCTGGCAGAGCACACCGAGACGATGTTTGAAAGGCACATCTGTAATCTCGATAACGTCGCTATCTCTATAGGCCAAACCAGAACGCCGATTACGGAAGAAAGATGTCACTCAGCGACAAAGTCCCGTGTGTGTCAAAAGCCAGCTTTTGCTTACGTCGGTCTCTGCAAGAATATGGATGCACTTTCTGCAGTCTGCGTGACGACTCAACCGAGCCGGAACGTAGTACGAGTTCCATTATCAGAATCTGTACCAGTTTCTGGTTCTACAATGCACTCTCCAAAGCTGAGGGAACATCAACATATATTATCGTACGTTAGCTCGAGTAGAGCGTTAACTGCATACTGCCATATCTGTCGGTTCGTGGTCTACTCGATCATGTTGTTATCCCATGAGACTCGTCCATGACCGTGCCTTTCGACTCTTCTCATGATGGCCTCGCTGAGGCGACAATGCCTGACATTGACTGCAATTCCAGACACCAAAATTCGGGCATACAAGGAAGCCCAGATGTGTCTCGCAACGTCGGCATCGGATATAAAGTCCATCTCTTTCAGAGTGATTGTTTCCCACGAGGGATGGTTCACAAGGGACACCAACCTCTCTGAATTGGCCTCAAGCTCGAACGCGAGGTGCGCCTGCATGGTTCCCCTTAGAGTAAGATGCTTTGCTCCCCCAACCAGATTGGAGATCTCGTTGCCGTATCCGACGAGTAGACTGACGTCAATCACCACTCGCATGAGACGTAAATTGCACATTGCGCGGACGGAAACGGCAAACAAAGAGTCTGCCCCTCCCTTGTAAAGAGCGCTGCTGGCAAAGGAAATGGTGCGGAATTTGAACCCTGCTGTGGACGCCAAAGAGACCTCTGCCTTTGGATATCTCGCCTCAATTTCGGGGTCGCTCTCCGAAAGGCGGAGGGCTTCACCTGACCGAGATTCTGTGCACCCAAAGTGACGAGATATGTGTTGAGACAGCCGGAGGATTTGCTCGCTGTTCAATGCAGTCGAATCGATGCAGTTGACAATCACGTCACAGTCCGATGGCAACGCCAAACTACAGAACAGAGACGTCGCAACGGCCGTGCGCCCTGCCAAATGCAGGTCTTTGATATTTGCGCCGCGCGCCTTGTTTGGCGAGATGATTTCGGATAGACCGGTGACGTTCTCAAGCAACCCTCCGCGTCTTGTAAACCGCAGGTGGAGCTTTGTGATCAGGGGAAGGCCATCTAGCGCATTCACGATCACGTTCAAGACATCCCATCCTTCGAAGCACACGTTTGTCAGACACAGCTCTCGTAACAAGCTGAGACCTTCCCCAGGCTTTATAAACCTATTGGGGGAAAGACGTGTCGGAAGAATAATGTCACAATCCATGCTATTGATTGCCGTCAGACTTTCCAGCTGTGCGAGAGAGCCTGGATCGATGATATTGAAAACGTCCTTGTTGAGAACATTGCCGGTGTGACTCCCGATGGCGTCTTCTATGCAAAACTCTAGCGCACTGAATCGGTGGATGTGGCGCATGAGCCATTCGATGCGATCCGAGTGACGCAAGGTGCCTTCCCATATTCCCCTGATGGGTCGCGTCCGGCTGCCTAGGCGTATGGGGACAATGCAGGTCATGGGACGCGAGCCCCCGCGTGTGATCACGGTATCTAGAAGCTCGGGTCTGCCGATGGCGGGGGTTATCGGCGTCCATAAGAAACCATAATTGACGGCGACCAGGCGCCAACGCCGGCAAACATGACAGACAATGAGCGATGTGGTAACCTCGGACGGGCTCTCCAGTTTCAGATGCGAGAAAACGGTGACTAGAACCTCATCTGGCAATAGCTCGATGAAGGCGAGGCGCGGAGACAGTGCCATTTGTGTGCAGACAATGTGCTGGTGGTTGTGAAAGAGAGCATAACAGCGAAGATAGCGCCTCAGACTCACATGATGAGCACCACGTTGATTAATTGGGCCGGCCTAGACGGACCGCAAAACGCGCGATTTGACATCGTGATCTTGTTCAGGTCCTGAATACGGGAACCTGGGCATGTACGATCTGTCGCCGGGTGGGAAAGTGGCTTGTTCGCTTCATGCGGACGACATAGAAGGCAGAAGTACGTAGAGTGTCGATCTGCCAAAGGGCGAGGAACGAGTCCTGCAGGAAGATCAGGGTCTATGGAGGCGCGGCGCGGAACGTGGCCGCACACGTTTTCACCGCCAGCGCAGCTCTCACAGCGCTCGTGGTCTGCAAACTCACCCACCCTCCTACTTCCCTCTCTCTGCAGAGTCAAAGCACAGGACAATTCTTGTCCAGCGCTATTGACTTTACGGTTCTTTCTCTTCGATTCTTTTTCCTTTTTTTGGTCTCACTTGAGGACCACCCTGGAGGGTGGGGGTTTGCTCGCTCACTTTCGTTTAAGCGCCCTCGTTGCCTAGGCGGGCCCCTCAAGTCGGCCGGAAGCCCCGCGCGCTTCGCCCTTCCGCCGTGCAGCCCCGAACGCGTTTTCCGTGCACATCGAATCTCGCACCGAACTTTGCGCCACTCCGCGCACACAGCGCGACGCGTTTCCGCTGCCGGCTGGGGCCGCTGCGCGTGGGCTTCGCCTACCTTCTCGTAGCACTGCGTCTCACGTCCCGCTCGTCAGCATGCACCGACTGCCATCTCGTCCCTCATGTATAGATTTGTACTTTTACATATCGGACCATATGGCAGTCACCCTGTCCGAGTTCCACCTTTCTCGCGAAGAGCGCCCGCCATCCATAGAGAACGGACAGTAGTGAACGCATTGGGATGGATAACTGACCAAGCTAGGTAACTTTATTCCGTGATCCGTTTAGGGGTCCTAACCCCACGATCCGACACCCGACAATCAAGGCACAGTGGGAAGCCCAAGCCGGCAAACCCGGTGCCTCACTTACGGGTGGCGAAAAGGGAACTCGACATAAATATGCAGTAAAGGATTGAGAAATTTATCTGTCAACTCCACTTGTCCTCACCCTCGTTGTCCTCAAACTTGAAGGAATCTCAACTAACATTGTCCATTGCTCATGAGTGATAGTGTGTATTCCTCGTTTTGACAGAGCACATCCCTGTACCCACATGAATGACAAACTCTCTTACCAGAGTGTGCAGATAGCTGTTTTTCGCGTCAAATACATTTGTTGCACGGCGGCCAGGCCACATCTGGGTGCTGCAGTCAGGTGTGCTTCGGAATTTGATCGGCAGAGTCTAGAACCTACCTGACGTAAATGCAGCATGGTCATAGCCGGAGTTCGCCATCCGGCTGTAAACCTTCTTGTAGCCAAGACTTCCATTGCCAGCATGTGCTGTCTTGGGTGTAGCTCACTCAGTACGTGCGTAAGGAGGAGAGTGCACACATCCTCATAGTTGTCTGCATATAATGTTTGTGTCCAAGGCAATTATGCTCTGTTGGCAGCCAACAATGAATGCAATATCCACATTGACAGAAGATGATATCATGACTGCGCATGTTGCCATGAGATACCGATGGGAAGCTAATCAGTCCTTTTTGAGAGAATGGAGAAGACCGCAGGCTTGGTATATGAGCCTAAGACAACGAAAAAGCGCCCATGCGCCTTTCCCTTTGCCTATTCCTCTCTTCTCCTGTGGCCAACATGCATATCAGCTTTATGAACGATGGTATGTTTTAATAGTCATGCTTGCTAGCAGGCAGCAGTCTGATCCTACTTCACTAGCCATCTCATCAGACAAAAGCTTGGTGGATCCATGTGCTGCTGTCGGACGGAGAAGGAAATGGACAGGTATAGTGGGGCATGGTGCGTTCTCTCCTGTCTGCATTGTCTAGTACCTGAATGGCTGTCTGACTGCTCTGCAGCTCACGAGTGTGATGTATATGCACCGCCTGATAGCATGAGCTCCAGCGGAGATCCGCCTTTCAGTCTGGCCTGGGACTGGGCAAGAAGAATGTGGCGTGCTCTGTTTTCCATATGTCGCTTGTCACTCTCCTGGACAAGACATAAAGTATCAGACTTCACCACACTTATCTTGCCAATCATGCCACATGGTTCCCATGATAATGTCTTCTCTACGCTTCTGCTGCCATCTGCGTCCGGATTGGCACTGCCAGCGATGCCTACGGATCTATACATCCTTCTTGGGCATGAAGGTAATGTGCTCCTTGGTGATGTTGGTACGGCCCAACTCAAACACTATATAGGGAAAGGGGGAGTATCATCCACCTCTACGCTCAAGCTTCTGCAAGATTTGAGGATTGCTAGACCGCCAATTGAGATCAAAGTGATAGTTGAGACAGTTACCGTCCGTGAGGGTGACAATAAAGCTTGAAGGACTCACCATTACTGGATGTATATCATGGCAGTGTCATCCATCTCTATGCACTGACTTGTTATCAGTCATGTACTTTCGCACCTTTCTCGCATATAAATAGTAGTCATCACTGGACGGCTGTACCATGAGATCATGTTTTATGTGCTACTTCTCGTTGACAAATATCAGCTCTATTTAAGACCACACAATTGCGCGAGTGTCAGAGCATTTACAAAATCATTAATCTCTCCATTCCCATGCTCTCAATGCAAGTCATATGTGCTCACTGCCGTCTCGTAACAAGTCCAAAGCTTTCCTTCATAGCTACGGATACATGCTCGCTACTACGAAGCAGTTCTCGTGAGTATAAGTCTCTGAGGCTCAAGTGATGTCTATGATGTATATGATGCTTACAGCTAAATGGGCGCATTCCTTATCCAAAAAGGTGGCAATCTCTCAACTCATAAGGGCAAGTTTTACCGTGTGCACACTCATCCCAAAATTTACAGCCCTCCCGTGGTTGTGGCCTTCCCCGAGCCCCCTTTTCTCATTGGAAAGAAGCCAAGACAGACATGCAGCTTACAGCATCCCATATCATGACATGACCTTCTTTTGTGCTTCACGACGCCAGATCCTGAGCTGTAGCTTGTTTGGCTCGCAAACATGATCAAATTTGCATCTGTTCTTAGAGTGACGTCAGGTATCTCGCGATGCTGTCTTTTGCTTTGCTGGTGAGTTGGAGTATTATTTACCTTCAGTTGGCAGTTTTTTAGTATGTGATGATGGTAGCATGGAAGTCGGTGCATCTCCTGCGTATCGAGTCCGGGCTTCGATGATAAGTAAACACATGTCTCTGATACAAAGGGTGACAGCTCACCTGATCAGTGACCTTTGACGGACCTACTCCTTGACTGTAAGCACCATCGTAGTTCTGTTGCATAGCATCCGGACATGCGCTCAGTGTACTTGGACTGAATTTGTCCTGTATGATTCTGGTTTGCCTCACAGGCAAGGTCTTCTCAAGCTCGGAACCGGGCGGGGCCATGAATCTCGCGCGTGTGTGTGTCTGAGAAATCTCATAGAGGTCCGTAAAACCGGCTTCTAACCGCACCACGGGAATGGTAGGGCTCATATTGGGCGGGAGCTTTGCGCCGTTCTCCGTGACATACACAAGCTTTTCGAGCGGGACGTTGTGCGAGGCGCCAAAGAAGGAGGAAGTATACCCACCTGCCATGGTTTAACAGAGCGTTAAGATCAGTTCTTTCGCTAGGAAGAGAGTGTGGAACTACCTGCAAGAAAAACCCGTGTCACCTGCGAGACTCGGGTAAAGGTGGCCAAATACGCTACGGACGTCAGTTTATACACAGCTGGTCCCGGGTATCAAGACGAACCATGCATCTTGTTGAACACGTCACCTGTGCTGGAAACACCGATGACCAGCAGGGTCCTATGCGACTCCCCGAGCCCCTTAACAAAGCTCTTGACCGTTTGAGCTGGATGAGTCTTCCTCTCTGCGAGAGATTGGACAAGTGCGGGGATAGACAGAAAGACTGTCACCCATATCGGGGTTTTTGACGCGTCTGTATCTGTGCCGGAAGTTGGTACATGTCGAGACAGTTCATGCAACAGATGTTGGCCAGCGGCCTTGCCTCCAGCCTCACCCTGTGCGATAAAGCGGTTGGAGAAGGTGATGCTTGATCCGTCCATAATACAAAGTGCCAGCTAAGGAAAGAGAGACAGAGGTCGGATATACAATGAGCTCTCTCTTCAGAACAATGACACGGGACCACATACCGTTTCCGAGGCGGCGCTTGGTTGCTTCGCTACCATGAACGGACGCTCAACAGTGACGGCAGTTCTGAGTTTCATTTGCCTCATCTCCTCTTCCATCATCCATCTAGATTTCCTGAGATCATGGTTTTCTTTTACCGTCGCTTCAACAAGCTCTGCTCACAGTCCAGAAGAAGACTTGTCAGAGGGAGGCCTCGATTAAGACTCGTCTATTTCCTGAGACTCACGAAGAAGCTCTTTGCATAACCAGTTCCTGCGACACACTGCCTAAGCCTATCCGTAACATGTTACAGAGTCCGTGGACTTACAGTCTGTGCCAATTGCTATCCATCACTAGAATGGATATCCAGGAAATTTGATGATTAAGCTTTACGGTTTAAAATGAATGGTGAACTGAGTGAGCGAGTAAGAGTGCCAGGCGGTCTTGAGCATCCGGACCTGAAGACATTAAATATACCCGTCTGGACCGAGGATTGGCTTTATTTGCAATTACCCGTCCAACTCCTCCGACATTTGTTGGTGGGGTCCCCCTTTACCCAAAAAGACATGTGACATAGAAGGGACCTTTGAGCCTCGCGAGAGGGCACATTTTGGTGCGGAGAAGAGTGACATGCCCACCAATGGGCGTGTTGCAGCACATACCACCTGATTGACACTCTCGTGTGTCATTTATCTCGCACTCAAGTGCTGTGACAGTATACGCACCGAGATGCGACACTCTCTTTCAGTATCAGCAAACCTCCCACGGGGTCCGTCAGACAAGCGACAGAGACGA